ACACACAGCCCACTGTCCTCTATGGAAACAGATCGCCTGTCCGTTTCCATCCAATCCGAGGGACGGAGGGGTCATTGGATCCCCATCCGTCTCTTTGTGGCGGGATCTGATTGGATGTCGGCAGGTGTAAACGGACACACGTCCACCGCTCTATAGAGGAGAATGGCCACATAGGGAGCGGATTTCATCTCTTTCCTGCTGAATCAGACAAAATTGTATCCATCACAATCGCTGGAAGCGCATTGAAGTGAATGGGCCACCTTCTGCACAACACAGGAAGCCGGAATCGCAGCCGGAACACTTTTTCCTGCAACGTGATATCTGAACGGGGCCTAAAGTGGAAGGCGAATCCTAAGTAACTGTAAAGCCGCCTTCAGCCCCATTCTGAGCCCAATCTCTCTAGTCCTGTAAAGGAAGAATCGCTGAACTTACCTGTCCCTCGGCCGCTCCGCTCCGCTCCGGTCCGCTCCGCTCCGGTCCCAGGCTGAGCTGTCAGCAGCGGCTTCAGTGTGCAGGAGACGCAGCCGACAACAGAAGTCCCATAGTAACTCCATGGGGGACGTCACTTCCCGTCTCCTGCACATAGAGGGCGCCACAGGAGAGCGGAGCGGCTGCAGGACAGGTAAGTACAGCGATTGGTGTCCCTTTACAGGGCTAGGTAGGTTCGGCCTGGAATGGGGCTGAGGGCGGGGTTAGTGTTCGCCAGGATTTGCCTTTACTGCCACTTTAAGATTTGCACCCATTTACTAGAAAGTTCTTTAACCCCTTCCTGCCCCCCCCACCCCCCCCCCCCTACCTGGTGTCCCTTTAATACTTCCCAACCGCAGATAGCTGAATGACGGCTACACTGCAGCTGGCCAGTTCTGGGAGGTGTCATATGACGTCCTCCCGGAACGCGCTCTCCTGCGCGCCCCCGGCGATCTCCGTGATCCCTGTGTCCTACGGACACAGCTGATCACATGATGTGGTAAAAGGCCAATCACAGCGGCCTTTTACCACGTGATCAGCCGTGTCCAAAAACACGCTGATCACCGATAAATGCAATTGCCAGTTCTCAGCTGCACTTTCCTCACGCTGGCAGAGTGCGAGGAAAGTACTGCCGAGGATCGGCAGTTGTGAGAGCAGAGATCGGCAGTTGTCAGAGCAGAGATCGGCACCGATCATCAGTGCCCTGATGATCGGTGCCCAGCAGTGCAACCCACCAGTTCCACCCAGCAATGCACCCTCCTATACCACCCACCTGTGCCACCCAGCAGTGCCCCCCACCTGTGCCCAGCAGTGCCCCCCACCTGTTCCCACTAGTGCCACCCACCTGTGCCACCCAGCAGTGCACCCACCTGTGCCCAGCAGTGCCCCCACCTGTGCACCCACCTGTGCCACCCAGCAGTGCCCCCCACCTGTGCCCAGCAGTTCCACCCACCTGTGCCACCCAGCAGTGCCACCCACCTTGTGCCCAGCAGTTCCACCCACCCACCTGTGCCACCCAGCAGTGCCAGCCCCACCTGTGCCCCACCAGTGCCCACTCACAAGTGCCCATCAGTGCCAGCAGCCCAGCATTGCTGCCAGTCAGTGCCCAGCATTGCTGCCAGTCAGTGCCCAGCAGTGATGCCAGTCAGAGCCACCTATCAGTGCTGTCTATCAGTGTCACCTATCAGTGCCGCCTATCTGTGACACCTCATTAGTGCTGCCTATCAGTGCCCATCAGTGCTGCCTCATCAACGCATTTCAGTGAAAGAGAAAAATTACCTGTTTGAAAAATTTTATAATAGAAACAAAGAAACTTTTTTTTTTCAATTTTTGCACTTTTTTTGTTTATAATGCAAAAAGTAAAGCGCCCAGCGGGGAGTACATACCACCAAAAGAAAGCTCTATTTGTGAGAAAAAAAAATGATAAAAATGTCATATGGGTGCAATCTTGCATGACTGCGCAATTGTCAATCAAAGTGTGACAGCACCTCCCCCTCCCTCTCTCTGACCCCTCCTCCCTCTCTCTCACCCCCCCCCCCCCCCTCTCACACCCCCGTTCTCTCTCTCTTTCTCACTCCCTCTCTCTGACCCACTCCTCCCTCCCTCTCTCTGACCCCTCCTCCCTCTCTCTCACCACCCCCCCCTCTCTTTTCTCACTCCCTCCGTTCTCTCTCTCTCTTTCTCACTCCCTCTCTCTGACCCCTCCTCCCTCTCTCTCTCTGACCCCCCTCCCCCGTCTCTCTCACACCCCCGTTCTCTCTCTCTTTCTCACTCCCTCTCTCTGACCTCCCTCCCTATCTCTGACCCCTCCTCCCTCTCTCTCACCCCCCCCTGCTCTCTCACACCCCCCGTTCTCTCTCTCTTTCTCACTCCCTCTCTCTGACCCCTCCTCCCTCTCTCTGACCCCCCGTCCCTCTCTCTTTCTTACTCCCTCTCTCTGACCTCCCTCCTATCTCTGACCCCTCCTCCCTCTCTCTCACTCCTCCTCTCTCCCCCCCTCTCTCTCACACCCCCGTTCTCTCTCTCTTTCTCACTCCCTCTCTCTGACCTCCCTCCCTCTCTCTGACCCTCCTCCCTCTCTCTCACACCCCCCCTCTCTCTTTCTCACCCCCTCTCTCTGACCCCCCCCCCCCCCCCCACCCCCATCCCTCTCTTTGAGATTGAGGTGCCTGGATTTCAGTCCATGGACACCTCCACCCTTAACTGAAAGTCCAAGGACCTCGGTGTCTCCACCAACATGCAATAGTTCTACTTCCTTCCCCCTCCACTGAAGCGTGCAGCATGTATGATGGTGGAGATGCTGAGATTCCCGGATTCTCAGTTAAGGCTGGAGGTGTGAAGTGGGACTATTACATGGTGGTGGAGACTCCAAGGTTCCCAGGATTTTAATTGGGAGTATTAATGCCTTAACTGTGGTTTCAGTGGAAAGAATCACACATCAGCGTTTGCATCAGTGGGAGGAATTCTACCCCGTCATCGGTATCGGTAAACGGAACAACGCCCCACACTTGGTGTCAGTGGGAGGAATTCTACCCCGTCGTCGGCATCGGTAAACGGAACAACGCCCCACGCTTGGTGTCAGTGGGAGAAATTCTACCCCGTCATCGGTATCGGTAAACGGAACAACGCCCCACGCTTGGTGTCAGTGGAAGGAATTCTACCCCGTCATCGGTATCGGTAAGCGGAACAACGCCCCACGCTTGGTGTCAGTGGGAGGAATTCTACCCCGTCGTTGGTATCGGTAAACGGAACAACGCCCCACGCTCGGTGTCAGTGGGAGGAATTCTACCCCGTCATCGGTATCGGTAAACGGAACAACGCCCCACGCTTGGTGTCAGTGGGAGGAATTCTACCCCGTCGTCGGTATCGGTAAATGGAACAACGCCCCACGCTTGGTGTCAGTGGGAGGAATTCTACCCCATCGTCGGTATCGGTAAACGAAACAACGCCCCACGCTTGGTGTCAGTGGGAGGAATTCTACCCCATCGTCGGTATCGGTAAACGGAACAACGCCCCGCGCTCGGTTGTCAGTGGGAGGAATTCTACCCCGTCGTCGGTATCGGTAAACGGAACAACGCCCCACGCTTGGTGTCAGTGGGAGGAATTCTACCCCGTCGTCGGCATCGGTAAACGGAACAACGCCCCACGCTTGGTGTCAGTGGGAGGAATTCTACCCCATCGTCGGTATCGGTAAACGGAACAACGCCCCACGCTTGGTGTCAGTGGGAGGAATTCTACCCCATCGTCGTGGTATCGGTAAACGGAACAACGCCCCACGCTTGGTGTCAGTGGGAGGAATTCTACCCCGTCGTTGGTATCGGTAAACGGAACAACGCCCCACGCTTGGTGTCAGTGGGAGGAATTCTACCCCGTCGTCGGTATCGGTAAACGGAACAACGCCCCCGCGCTCGGTGTCAGTGGGAGGAATTCTACCCCGTCGTTGGTATCGGTAAACGGAACAACGCCCCGCGCTTGGTGTCAGTGGGAGGAATTCTACCCCGTCGTTGGTATCGGTAAACGGAACAACGCCCCACGCTTGGTGTGTCAGTGGGAGGAATTCTACCCCGTCGTCGGTATCGTAAACGGAACAACGCCCCACGCTTGGTGTCAGTGGGAGGAATTCTACCCCGTCGTCGGTATCGGTAAACGGAACAACGCCCCACGCTTGGTGTCAGTGGGAGGAATTCTACCCCGTCGTCGGTATCGGTAAACGGAACAACGCCCCACGCTTGGTGTCAGTGGGAGGAATTCTACCCCGTCGTCGGTATCGGTAAACGGAACAACGCCCCACGCTTGGTGTCAGTGGGAGGAATTCTACCCCATCGTCGGTATCGGTAAACGAACAACGCCCCACGCTTGGTGTCAGTGGTTGGTGTCAGTGGGAGGAATTCTACCCCGTCGTCGGTATCGGTAACCGGAACAACGCCCCCGCGCTTGGTGTCAGTGGGAGGAATTCTACCCCCGTCGTTGGTATCGGTAAACGGAACAACGCCCCACGCTTGGTGTCAGTGGGAGGAATTCTACCCCCGTCGTCGGTATCGTAAACGGAACAACGCCCCACGCTTGTTGGTGTCAGTGGGAGGGAATTCTATATCGGTAAACGGAACAACGCCCCACGCTTGGTGTCAGTGGGAGGAATTCTACCCCCCGTCGTCGGTATCGGTAAACGGAACAACGCCCCGCGCTCGGTGTCAGTGGGAAGAATAGTTTATATTTTGCACTCTTTATTCTAAAGAAAAATGTAATGTCATCAGCTTTAAGGGGGCGGGGCCAGGGGTGGGGTTGGAGGCGGACCTGGGCAAGGTTGGATGGGGCAACTGGTGGAGAGTAAGGTTTGTGCCTGGCTAGTAGGTCTGGACTCGAAGTTTAAAGTCTCCATGAGGGTTCAGGGAATACATTGATAGGTACAGAATTCCTCTACGAGGCGTCTCTGTGCTGAGCCTTGGCTGGTTGGTGCCGCCCCTCTCGGGTTAATCATTGCTGAGGTGGCTCTGGGATCCAGCGGTCGCTCTCTTCCTCGGCCCGCACACATCATGCTCCTCGCAGTCTTCCTCCTCTTGTCCCTTTTCCTCCAAGGCTTTCCACAGAAGACCGAGCCTCTGAGCAGCGCCAACTCCCAGCCCTTGTTCCGCGGAGCTGACCGCTACGACTTCGCCATCTTGGTGGGACCGGCCGGCACAGAATGCTTCTATCACTTTGCCCACCAAAGCTCCTATTTCTACTTTGGATATGAGGTAGGTGGCCGTCTCCAGCAGTTTATACCTATCGGTATTGTATAACAGATCTGATTGCATCTGGTGTAGGGAAGGTAAGTGTGCGCGATGATCAATTCATATTCCAGCAGGAAATACAACGTAACATCTGCTTTTCTACATCGCGTCATGTGATTGGCATGGATGACAGAATCGAATATCTTTGATGTCATTCGACCTTGGGCACTTATCTCCACACATGACGGGATCATATAACCAGATGTGCTGTCCCGCTGACGCTCGTCCTCTCATCCAGGCCAGCAGGGTGTCGGTCTACAGAGACGTTGCCAATCAGCCACTAGAGTGGCATGATTTGGTGCTCCCACCGTCACTGGTGGTAAAGTGGTTCTAAAGGCTCAAGGTTCATGTATTGTATGCAGGAAGGTGAAAAACCTGAGTGCAGAATCCCCCCCAGCCCCCCAATCCTTACCTGAGCCCGCTCTGATCCAGCGACATTCATGACAGCCTCTGCTCCTCATTGGCTGAGACAGCAGCGGGAGGCTGGGGTGGGACCGAGACGCGGCTCTTTGTGTCTTATGGACGTATAGAGCAGCGGTTTGGGGACAAGCATGAAGTGGTGCCCCCAGGACGAGCGGCTTTCCCTGGGGGAGCACTGCTCGAGGGGGAGGAGCCAGGTGCGCAGGCTGGGACCCGAAAAGAAGACCAAAACCATTACGTGTTTGTCATTTTAACCCCTTGGTGCCTGAGCCTCCTGGCCCTCTAAGAAGGGGTTTGTGATGCCAGAAGGCGGGGTGGAGATTAGGACCATGTGACATGATTGGAAAGCTCCCGACCACAAGCAGCAATTGGGACCTTTCCATGAGGTGCTGGTAAATGTGCCGGGAGCACGCAGGGGTGAGCACTGATAAATGTGTCGGGAGCACGCACGCAGGGTGAGCGCAGGGTGATAAATGTGCCGGGAGCACGCAGGGTGAGCGCTGATAAATGTGCCGGGAGCACGCAGGGTGAGCGCTGATAAATGTGCCGGGAGCACGCACGCACGGGGTGAGCGCTGATAAATGTGCCGGGAGCACGCAGGGTGAGCGCTCTTGGCACATTGGGTACGCAAACATGCGGCTCCTCGGCACCAAGGCCCACCCACTGAAAGGCCACATATTTGCGTAGTTCCTGCTTGGCAGAGCCATGACTGTAAGGGGCACATTCTTCCCACTGGGGTCCCTTTGGGGGTAAAAAAGGTTGAGAAAGGTTGTCATAGAAGCTTCACAAAGCCATTCTCAACCAGGTTCCTCCAGGGGTGGCTAGGGGCTTCTTGTGTTGTAACCAACTGGCCTCCCGTGGGATGGTACCCGCATAGTTCCATGTCCAAGACCACTTGGCAGAGCCATGACTGTAAGGGGCACATTCTTCCCACTGAACACCACCAGTGGGAGGAACTTTTTCTTTAAAGACCAGCAAAGAACTCATTTTAGCCGGGGTTCCATGAGACCTGAAATTTATTACAAGGGTTCCTTTGGGCATTAAAAGGTTGCCATAGAAGCTCCACAAAGCCACTCTCAACCAGGGTTCCTCCAGAGGTAGCTAGGGGCTTCTTGTGTCATGGCTAACTGACCTCCCATGTGATGGTTCCACATAGTTCCATGTCCAAGACCACTTGGCAGAGCCAGAGCCATGACTGTAAGGGGCACATTCTTCTCCCTGACCACCACCAGTGGAAGGAACTTTTTCTCAAAGACCAGTAAAGGACTTGTTTTAGCTGGGGTTCCATGAGACCTGAGATTTATTACAAGGTTTCCTTTGGAGGTAAAAAGGTTGAGACGGGTTTCCATAGAAGCTCCAAAAAGCCATTAACAGCCAGGGTTCCTCAGAAGTGGCAAGGGGCTTCTTGTGCTGTGGCTACCCCACCTCCCATGTGATGGTTCCACATAGTTCCAGCTTGGCAGAGCCATGACTGTAAGGGGCGCTCTCTTCCCACTGACCACCATCAATGGAAGGGGCATTTTCCCAATGGCCACCATTGGACTAATTTTAGCAGAGGTTCTCCAAGACCGGAAAAATTATGGCAAGGATACCTTTGGGGGTAAAAAAGGTTGAGTAAGGCTGCCATAGAAGCTCATGAAGACGCTCCCCAAAGGGGTCATGAAGACGCTCCCCAAAGGGGTCATGAAGACGCTCCCCGAAAGGGGTCATGAAGACGCTCCCCGAAGGGGTCATGAGAGTTAAAGATTTTAATAAAATAAACGCAGCATTTCATACATTTGCCGAGAAGGTCCAGATTTCTCTCTTCATAACCTATCCATAGCTTTTTATTTTTTCCTTGTTAGGCTTTATTTCCCATTTACACATTTAATAGCTTTTTTGAAGGTTTTTTTTTTGTTTTTGTTTTCTTTTAATAAATCTGCCCCCCCCCCCCCTCCTCCACCCACCATGTGGTTCTCAGTTTTGAGCAATCGGACTTTTTCAGTGGAGATCCATCAAAACCAACCTAGTTGAAGTGAGTGAAGAGATGGGCGCTGCTCCACCGACCCAGCAGTCCAATGTTAAGGAATGGCCTCAGCCGCCGTTCTGGCCACGTGATTACACGTGCGTGGTGTGAATGGGGGGGAGGGGGCTTATAGAGCACGTGGCATGTAGGGGGGGCTTATAGAGCACGTAGTGTGAATGGGGGAGGTGGCTTATAGATTGCGTGGTGTGAAGGGGGGGCTTATAGAGCACGTAGTGTGAATGGGGGAGGGGGCTTATAGAGCGCGTGGTGTGAATGGGGGAGGGGGCTTATAGAGCACGTAGTGTGAATGGGTTGAGGGGGCTTATAGAGCGCGTGGTGTGAATGGGGGGAGGGGGACTTACAGAGCGTGGGTGTGAGGGGGGAGGGGGCTTACAGAGCGTGTGGTGTGAATGGGGGGAGGGTCTTACAGAGCGCGTGGTGTGAATGGGGGGAGGGGACTTACAGAGCGCGTGGTGTGAATGGGGGGAGGGGGCTTATAGAGCGCATGGTGTAGCTTATAGAGCACGTGGTGTGAATGGGGGGAGGGGGCTTATAGAGCGCGTGGTGTGAATGGGGGGGAGGGGGCTTATAGAGCGCGTGGTGTGAATGGGGGGAGGGGGCTTATACAGCGTGTGGTGTGAATGGGGGGAGGGTGCTTATAGAGCGCGTGGTGTGAATGGGGGGGGGCTTATAGAGCGCGTGGCGTGAATGGGGGGAGGGGGCTTATAGAGCGCGTGGGGTGAATGGGGGGAGGGGGCTTATAGAGCGCGTGGTGTGAATGGGGGAGGGGGCTTATAGAGCGCGTGGCGTGAATGGGGGGAGGGGGCTTATAGAGCGTGGTGTGAATGGGGGGAGGGGACTTATAGAGCGCGTGGTGTGAATGGGGGGAGGGGACTTATAGAGCGCGTGGTGTGAATGGGGGGAGGGGACTTATAGAGCACATGGTGTGAAGCGAGGTGGAAAGCTTTCCTGTCGAAGTTTGTGCTGACGATGATATTCCTGGGAAGACACAACATCTGCTGCCAACCCAAAGTTGTCTCAGCAGCGCCTTATCACCTGCAGCAAGGTGACCCCCTGCTGCAGCCAACTCCTGCGACTCCTGCGACCGTCCCAGAGAACGAATACCGGCTCGGCCTCATTCCATTAAGCCCGGGTTCACATATGTGCGGTGCGGTACATCACATGTGATTCACACGGGAACCGCGCTGCATTCCTGTGCAGATCACGTGATTTGTGTGCGATGCGATCGGCGGCGTACATTTTGTATGGCTCTAATCACACCGCACCAACAAGGCGCAGGACCCTTTTTTGGGTCCACACTAGAATCGGATCGCACGGGTATTCGCACCTATGTGATTCGATTCTGCACATCGCACCATGTTTTGTGGAGCGCTTTCGGGGTTTTGTTAACTTGACATTCACACCCGCAGCGGTTCGCATGAACGGGGTGCGATTCTGATGGGGTGAGGAATTCGCACAGAAAACGCTGAGAATCCCGCACTGCGTCACTGTGAACCCGGCTGAAGATGAACTAGTCAGAGGTTCTTTATTGGGAACAAAGCGTAAAGCAAAGTGTAGTTTTTGTATTTGGCGGAGACACTTCTAGTCCTTGAAGCCTTCAGCTGGCTGTTAAGGTCCCGGTCACACCGATCCGACTCCCAGTCAAGTCGCACAATTTCAAAGTCGGATGTCATTCTGACTTGAGGTGCGACTTGCAGGACATCTGTCTATACGAGTCGCACCGGAAGTATCGCATTCACTGCTTTAGAAATCCTTGCGGCTCCGACCGAGAGTCCAGCCTACCAGCCCGCCCCCAATTTACTCAGCGAGCAGGGGCGGACTGACAACTCATGGGGCCCCCGGGCAATAGGGGATCATGGGGCCCCTGTGTCCTTGCCCAAACTCAAAAAAGCCTATGAAAAAGGTACCAGGGGCATCTCATGGGGCCCCCTCTACTGACCCCGGGCCCTTGGGCAGTACCTGAGTTTCCAAATGGTCAGTCCGCCCCTGTCAGCAACTCTCAGGAATTAAAGTAGAAATAGTTGACAGAATTCAAAATATATTGATTTGGACTTTCAATAAAATTGATTTTAGACAATAAAAAACGTGCCATAAATCAGCCTAAGTGGCCGGTCACAGCGGTGAGATTTGAGGATTGAAATCGCATCTAATGAATGTGAATGTCGGCGTCTTCCCATGCGATTTGCTGCATCGCGATTTCTAAAGTAGGTCCTGCATTACTTTTTTTTGCAGTTTTGTTGGGATTTCACATACAAAGAATAGAATGGAAATCGCACTGCAAATCGTTGAAAATCTTCACAAGTAGCAATCAAGTCTTCAGATATCACACTGAAATGGCACACAAATTGTGTAATTATACATTGCAGCGGTGTGACTGGAGACTGATCAACACAAAGGGCAGAGTACTGGGATCAGGAGGGCACAATACTGGGATCAGGAGGGCACAATACTGGGATCGGGGGCACAGTACTGGGATCAGGAGGGCACAGTACTGGGAGGGGAGGCAGGAGGGCACAATACTGGGATCAGGAGGGCACAATACTGGGACAGGAGGGCACAATACTGGGATCAGAAGGGCACATTACTGGGATCAGGAGGGCACAATACTGGGATCAGGAGGACACAATACTGGGATCGGGGGCACAGTACTGGGATCAGGAGGGCATAATACTGGGATCAGGATCAGAAGGGCACATTACTGGGATCAGGAGGGCACAATAATCAGAAGGGCACTGGGGATCAGGAGGGCATAATACTGGGATCAGGGGGCACAATACTGGGATCAGGAGGACACAATACTGGGATTGGGGGCACAGTACTGGGATCAGGGGGCACAATACTGGGATCAGGAGGGCATAATACTGGGATTGGGGGCACAATACTGGGATCAGGAGGACACAATACTGGGATTGGGGGCACAGTACTGGGATCAGGAGGACACAATACTGGGATCAGGACATAATACTGGGATCAGGAGGGCATAATACTGGGATCAGGGGATAATACTGGATTGGGGGCACAGTACTGGGATCAGGAGGGCATAATACTGGGATCACAATACTGGATCAGGGGGCATAATACTGGGATTGGGGGCACAATACTGGGATCAGGAGGACACAATACTGGGATTGGGGGCACAGTACTGGGATCAGGAGGGCATACATCAGGAGGGCACAATACTGGGACAGTGTGGAGGAGGGGAGGACAGGGATGGAGAGCACAATACTGGGATCAGGAGGGCACAATACTGGGATCAGGAAGGGCACAATACTGGGATCAGGAGGGCACAGTACTGGATCAGGAGGGCACACATACTGGGATCAGGAGGGCACAATACTGGGATCAGGAGGGTACAGTACAGGGGGATCAGGGGGCACAATACTACTACTGGGATCAGGAGGGCATAATACTGGGATCAGGGGGCACAATACTGGGATCAGGAGGACACAATACTGGGATTGGGGGCACAGTACTGGGATCAGGAGGGCACAATACTGGGATCAGGAGGGCATAATACTGGGATCAGGAGGGCACAATACTGGGATCAGGAGGGCATAATACTGGGATTGGGGGCACAGTACTGGGATCAGGAGGGCATAATACTGGGATTGGGGGGGGGCACAGTACTGGGATCAGGAGGGCATAATACTGGGATTGGGGGCACAGTACTGGGATCAGGAGGGCATAATACTGGGATTGGGGGCACAATACTGGGATCAGGAGGACACAATACTGGGATTGGGGGCACAGTACTGGGATCAGGAGGGCATAATACTGGGATCAGGAGGGCACAATACTGGGATCAGGACATAATACTGAGATCAGGAGGATATAATACTGAGATCAGGAGGACACAGTACTGGGATGACGAGAGCACAATACTGGGATCAGGAGGGCACAATACTGGGACAGAGGGCACAATACTGGGATCAGGAGGGCACAGTACAAGGAGAGTCAGGAGGGCACCACACTGGGATCAGGAGGGCACAATACTGGGATCAGGAGGGCACAATACTGGGATCAGGAGGGCACAGTACTGGGATCAGGAGGGCACAATACTGGGATCAGGAGGGTACAATATACAGGGGGATCAGGAGGACACAATACTGGGATCAGGAGGGCACAGTACTGGGATCAGGAGGGCACAATACTGGGATCAAGGAGGGCAGAATACTGGGATCAGGAGGACACAGTACTGGGATCACACATACTGGGATCAGGAGGGCACAGTACTGGGATCAGGAGGACACAGTACTGGGATCAGGAGGGCACAGTACTGGGATCAGGAGGGCACAGTACTGGGATCAGGAGGGCACAATACTGGGATCAGGAGGCCACAATACTGGGATCAGGGCACAACACAGTTTCTGGGATGCTGCCCAGGCCATCCCGGGACAGCTTAGTAAAAAGCAGACTGTCCCGGCAAATCCAGGACAGTTGGAAAGTATAATGTAATGCAAGATCATAATGGGGCCCCCGGTACCTGGGGCCCTTGGGAAGTGCCCAGGGGTGCCCATGCATTAAGACAGCCCTGCCCGGAACCAACGTGAAGTCAGAACCCCTAATCTGCATGCTTGTTCTGGGTCTGGTAAACTGACTATTGGATCAGATACATCGCATGGCGGACAGGCAGGCGGCATTTTCGGAAGCAGCAATCATCTGGCTTCAGATTCCTTTTCCTCTGGGATTCCTTTATCAGTCCCTGTTCTGTACTGGACTGTGATCTGTAAGTATGGATTTTGTTTTTCTTGTTTGCATGTTCTTTATTGCCAACAAACTTTATTGACTATGAATCCTAGAGCAGGATGGCGGTCCGCACATACAGGATGATACTTGTGTATGATGGCGGCCAGGTTCAGACTGCGTTGTGGTCTCCTTGCAGGTCCAATGGACGTCCGGAGTCATGCAGGACAGGAAGGTGTCGGCTTCGGTCCACAACCCGCAGGGATTTCTGATGGAGACCTCCAATGATGAACGCGGACAAATCAACTTCGTGACCAAAGAGACGGGTAAAAGAGTTCTTATTCTACATAGAGAAGAAATGAATCTGGAGGCCCAGATCTCCGTGACACTCGAAGCGCCATAGATGGCCAAAAACCCCAAAAAACGAAGAATGAGACCTTGTAGGTGCCGACCACTTTGGGGGAAAGAACTTTAAACCGACTCCTGAAATTTTACTGCCACAGGGCGGGCGCTCTCTGCGCAAAATCACGTATCTATACGTGACTTTGTATTTCCAGGTAGGGGGCGCGCGTGCGTGCGTGCGCTCGCTCCCGCTCACTCAGCTGCACTGTCACTGGCTCAGGCAGGAGCTGATCAGCGGGTGCCGACCAATGATTTACAGCCCGGCACCCCCGCCGAATGGTGGAGCGGATGACAGGAGAGAGTTCTGTGTTGGTAAACAACACAGATCTCTATGGTTAGCAGGGATGTGGCGGGTTTTTTGTCTCCTTGTAAAGCAGGGCATAAAAACCGTCACATCCCTTAGTAAAAGCAGCACACAGGATACACGTAGGCACACAGTTAACCCTTTGATCGTCTCAGATGTTAGCATCAGGCAGTTCCCACAAAGCGTCAGATTGTCCGCAGCACTATCACAGTCCGTTATAAATCACTGATCTCCGCCATCACTAGCATTTCCAGTGTGTGTCCCATAGTTTGTAGACGTTTATAACTTTCACAAACCATGCGGCCATGCACCATGCACAAATGGGTGGTCTTATATGTGGCCATGCACATGCACAATGGGTGGTCTTATATGTGGCCATGCACAATGGGTGGTCTTATATGTGGCCATATGGGTGGTCTTATATGTGGCCATGCACACATGGGTGGTCTTATATGTGGCCATGCACCATGCACAATGGGTGGTCTTATATGTGGCCATGCCCATGCACAATGGGTGGTCTTATATGTGGCCATGCACCATGCACAATGGGTGGTCTTATATGTGGCCATGCACCATGGGTGGTCTTATATGTGGCCATGCACCATGGGTGGTCTTATAACGTGGCCATGCACCATGCACAATGGGTGGTCTTATATGTGGCCATGCACCATGCACAATGGGTGGTCTTATATGTGGCCATGCACCATGGGTGGTCTTATATGTGGCCATGCACCATGGGTGGTCTTATACGTGGCCATGCACCATGCACAATGGGTGGTCTTATATGTGGCCATGCACCATGCACAATGGGTGGTCTTATATGTGGCCATGCACCATGCACAATGGGTGGTCTTATATGTGGCCATACATCATGCACAATGGGTGGTCTTATATGTAGCCATGCACCATACACAATGGGTGGTCTTATATGCGGCCATACACCATAAACAATGGGTGGTCTTATATGCGGCCATGCACCATGGGTGGTCTTATATGTGGCCATGCACCATGCACAATGGGTGGTCTTATATGTGACCATGCACAATGGGTGGTCTTATATGTGGCCATACATCATGCACAATGGGTGGTCTTATATGTGGCCATGCACCATGCACAATGGGATTCTTATATGTGGCCATGCACCATGCACAATGGGTGGTCTTATATGTGGCCATGCACCATACACAATGGGTGGTCTTATATGTGGCCATGCACCATACACAATGGGTGGTCTTATATGTGGCCATGCACCATACACAATGGGTGGTCTTATATGTGGCCATGCACAATGCACAATGGTGGTCTTATATGTGGCCATGACCATGCACAATGGGTGGTCTTATATGTGGCCATGCACCATGCACAATGGGTGGTCTTATATGTGGCCATGCACCATGCACAATGGGTGGTCTTATATGCGGCCATGCACCATACACAATGGGTGGTCTTATATGTGGGCCATGCACCATAAACAATGGGTGGTCTTATATGCGGCCATGCACACATGGGTGGTCTTATATGTGGCCATGCACCATGCACAATGGGTGGTCTTATATGTGGCCATGCACCATGCACACAATGGGTGGTCTTATATGTGGCCATGCACCATACACAATGGGTGGTCTTATATGTGGCCATGCACAATGGGTGGTCTTATATGTGGCCATGCACCATGCACAATGGGTGGTCTTATATGTGGCCATGCACCATGCACAATGGGTGGTCTTATATGTGGCCATGCACCATACACAATGGGTGGTCTTATATGTGGCCATGCACAATGGGTGGTCTTATATGTGGCCATGCACCATACACAATGGGTGGTCTTATATGTGGCCATGCACAATGGGTGGTCTTATATGTGGCCATGCACCATGCACAATGGGTGGTCTTATATGTGGCCATGCACATGGGTGGTCTTATATGTGGCCATGCACCATACACAATGGGTGGTCTTATATGTGGCCATGCACCATACACAATGGGTGGTCTTATATGTGGCCATGCACAATGGGTGGTCTTATATGTGGCCATGCAGCATGCACAATGGGTGGTCTTATATGTGGCTCCATGCCAATGCACCATGGGTGGTCTTATATGTGGCCATGCACCATACACAACAATGGGTGGTCTTATATGTGGCCATGCACAATGCACCATGGGTGGCCATGCACCATGGGTGGTCTTATATGTGGCCATGCACCATGCCCAGCCTGTGGCACTTTGAACCTTTCAGTGGTGCCAGCCGGGACACCAGCAGTCATTAGTCATTGTCTTACTCAGAGAAAGGAAGGGGGGGGGGAATAAAAATCCTTTAGGGGGGGGAATAAATCCTTTAGGAGGGGGGGGGAATAAATCCTTTAGGAGGGGGAGGGGTTCACAGTCATTACTTATAGCTGTGGCAGCTGCCTTAATACAAAAAAAAAGGATTTTATCTCATTTTGTGCCAGAGCCGCACATATATGTGGTGTCAGAGAGGCGGGCCAACTTCTGCCACATACATGTGTTGCTGTAAGCGTGATGTACAACATGTTTATGCATGCTGCATTTCACGACATTGTTGCTTAATTTCTGCGTTTTGTTATGTCTGTCATAGTGAAGAACAGAGATACCTCACCTAGGACACACGACAAGGCGGCTCCACGTGTTGCGGTCCAATTGTTATGTATTGAAGAGTTTCCTCTCTTTCTGCTTCTCAGGATTCCATCAGCTGTGTGTTAATAACTGGCAGAACCACTTTGGCTCAGCTCAGGTGTACCTGAACTTTGGGGTCTTCCATGATGGCGAGGGGCCTGAGCACCGACCTGAAGACCACAAACAGAAGTTAAACGACACCTTAGCGACCATTGAGGTGAGTCGGCCAATGCTGACATTTCTGTCATACATGGAAAAATCAGTATTCATTTTTTTTTGCTCGAAAATGACTTAGACCCCCCCCCCCCCCAAAAAAAACATTATATAAATAAAATGGTGATTTTTGCTATTTTTTTTGTAAGTTGCATGATATTTGCTCGGCCGTCTATCAAATTTTTAGGAAAAAGTTTATTTTAACCAATAGCGGTTTTACTGCATCAGCGCGGCTTTCCTGTGCCAAGTTATGTATGTGATTATGCACTTCCGGGGATATAGTGAATGCGGGGTCCGGGGGGAGCGGATATAGGGAACGCGGGGTCCGGGGAGAGCGGATATAGTGAATGCGGGGTCCGGGGAGAGCGGATATAGTGAATGCGGGGTCCGGGGTGAGCGGATATAGTGAATGCGGGTCCGGGGAGAGCGGATATAGTGAATGCGGGGTCCGGGGAGAGCGGATATAGTGAATGCGGGGTCCGGGGAGAGCGGATATAGTGAATGCGGGGTCCGGGGAGAGCGGATATAGTGAATGCGGGGTCCGGGGTGAGAGCGGATATAGTGAATGCGGGGTCCGGGGAGAGCGGATATAGGGAATGCGGGGTCCGGGGAGAGCGGATATAGTGAATGCGGGGTCCGGGGAGAGCGGATATAGTGAATGCGGGGTCCGGGGAGAGCGGATATAGTGAATGCGGGGTCCGGGGAGAGCGGATATAGGGAATGCGGGGTCCGGGGAGAGCGGATATAGGGAATGCGGGGTCCGGGGAGAGCGGACACAGTGAACGCGGGGTCCGGGGGAGCGGACACAGTGAACGCGGGGTACGGGGGGAGCGGATACAGTGAACGCGGGGTCCGGGGGGAGCGGATACAGGGAACGCGGGGGTCCAGATACAGTGAACACGGGGTCCGGGGGGAGCGGATACAGTGAACGCGGGGTCCGGGGGGAGCGGATAGAGTGAATGCGGGGTCCGGGGGGAGCGGATAGAGTGAATGCGGGGTCCAGGGGGAGCGGATATAGTGAACGCGGGGTCCGGGGGGGAGCGGATAGAGTGAATGCGGGGTCCAGGGGGAGCGGATATAGTGAACGCGGGGTCCGGGGGGAGCGGATAGAGTGAATGCGGGGTCCGGGGGGAGCGGATATATAGTGAATGCGGGGTCCGGGGGTGAGCGGATATAGTGAATGCGGGGTCCGGGGAGAGCGGATATAGTGAATGCGGGGTCCGGGGAGAGCGGATATAGTGAATGCGGGGTCCGGGGAGAGCGGATATAGTGAATGCGGGGTCCGGGGTGAGCGGATATAGTGAATGCGGGGTCCGGGGAGAGGGGATATAGGGAATGCGGGGTCCGGGAGAGCGGATATAGTGAATGCGGGGTCCGGGGGGAGCGGATATAGTGAATGCGGGGTCCGGGGAGAGCGGATATAGGGAATGCGGGGTCCGGGGAGAGCGGATATAGGGAATGCGGGGTCCGGGGAGAGCGGACACAGTGAACGCGGGGTCCGGGGGGAGCGGACACAGTGAACGCGGGGTACGGGGGGAGCGGATACAGTGAACGCGGGGTCCGGGGGGAGCGGATACAGGGAACGCGGGGTCCAGATACAGTGAACACGGGGGTCCGGGGGGAGCGGATACAGTGAACGCGGGGTCCGGGGGGAGCGGATAGAGTGAATGCGGGGTCCGGGGGGAGCGGATAGAGTGAATGCGGGGTCCAGGGGAGAGCGGATATAGTGAACGCGGGGTCCGGGGGAGAGCGGATAGAGTGAATGCGGGGTCCAGGGGGAGCGGATATAGTGAACCGGGGTCCGGGGGGAGCGGATAGAGTGAATGCGGGGTCCGGGGGGAGCGGATAGAGTGAATGCGGGGTCCGGGGGGAACTATTGGAGGGACTGTCAGTATAGCAGTGGACGGGCCCCTGACCTCCTATTTGCTCTTTTCAGGCGAGCTCTCAGGTGGTCCTGGGGCGCATCCTGCACATGTGGCGGTATTACACGTTCGCCCGCATGAGAAGAGGCTCCGATTACTACAGACTGATGTCCAACTATCACTACGTGACCTGGTGGTCGGCCGGGACCAGCATCCTCATCGTGGTCTCGGGGGTCCTGCAGCTCTACTTCCTGAAGCGCTTATTCAATGTCAAGACCACCACAGAGACACAGAAGCCGCGGTGCTGACAGGACACGATGCTGCACTGATGATACACAGCACAACCCGGGAACTGCGATGCACAGAGCTCATCCCAACAAGCCAAGTGTCCCGGGGATGTGCCCATCGGTGTCACGGAGGGTTCTGCGGTTTTAGGGTGTCGGTGGTAATAAACCCAAAAGCAAACATTTATTATTTCGCAACTTACCAATTCTTAGACACGTTGGCTGCATTCATTTTCTTTTTGAGGGTCGGTTCACACAATAGAAACACTCAGGTGCGTTTCTGCATGCGTATTTTTGGTGCGTTTCGGTGCATTTTTGATGCGATCCAGTTCATTTCCCCCCTTTTCTTCATTTTAAATAGAGACAGCATTTTTGATGCATTTTACCACGTTCCAGTACAGTTCTGTGCAGAAAAAATGCAGCCCGTTCTACTTTTTTTTTCTGCAACCGGAACTGACTGCACTGGTGGGAACGAGGGCCATTGGAATACATGGAAAACACTGTGCATGCATTTATGATGCAGAATAAAAACGCACTGGACGGCATCTACTGTGAATTAGCCCTTAGGGCCGGTTCACACTATAGAAACGCAGTCTAGATGTGTCACTGCATGCACGTTTTTGATGCATTCCTGTGCGTTTTTCATGCATTCCAGGTCATTTTTTCCCCTTTTTTAATTTAAATAGGGACATGTGCGTTCCAGTGCGTTTTTGATGCGTTTCGGTGCATTTTTGATGCGTTTTACAACGTTCCAGTACAGTTCTGTGCAGAAAAAAATGCAGCCTTTTTTTTTCTGGATCTGGAACGCACTGTAACTATGTTTTTGATGCGTCTGAGACGTTCTAGTTCATTTTTTTCCCCTTTTTCTTCAATTTAAATAGGGTCATGTGTGTTCCGGTGCGTTTTTTGATGCAGTTTACCGCTTTCCAGTACAGTTCTGTGCAGAAAAAAAATGGAGCCTGGTTTTGTTTTTTTCTGCATTCGGAATGCACCGGAACTGCAAGTGCTGATGTGAACTATGACATTATCAACCAGATCACCTACTTTTTGTGCGTTTTGGATGCAGAAAAACAAAACAAAACAAACTGAAACGCACTTAGTGTGAACTGGCCCTTAGACTTTTCTTGTATTTTCATCTGGTGATCCGGCCAGTAGGTCTGTTGTTTTTCAGAAGCTCAATCTCTCAGGAAGAATGTATCAGTTCACATGGATGAGACCATACAACAGTGACAGGGGGGGGGGGGGGGGGGGGGGCTTACAATGAGCAGCTTTTATTTATTGATGTAGAACCTTCATCCCAAAAGGAACAAAACTGTGACTATAACGAATTATAAAGTGTCAGCTGGAGATTGGCTTCAATGTGTTAATGTATCTAAATCTGCTAGTCCATCTAACACCCCCCCCCCCCCCCGAGACCGTCAATGCTGCTGTCCAAAGGTGCCCCCCTGTGCTCCTTCCTCCAGAGTGGGGGCGCTCTAATACAGGAGGTGCGATACTGGCCGGATCATCAGGTGAGAGCCTTTCAAATAAATAAATAATGCAGCCGCCCCATCTCATGCCTGCTGAGCCGCATTGTATATTTCTGGTTTTGGGTTTAACCTCTTCATGTCGGCCGAACGCAAACGTGCAGAGTCCCCGCGTCTGGGCCGAGACGCCGAGCGGCCGCACATTTGCGTTCTATTAAAAAAAGGATATTTGGGCCGAGAGCGCTCCCAGCACACATATCTGGTACTCACAGAAAGGTCCCGATCTCCTCTTTCGATCGGGACCTTTCCCGATCATGTGGCCGCTGTGATGCACCGTCACATGACCCTAAACTCCACCCCCTGGAACTCTTAAAGGGCCGGGAGGCGCCGGCATGAAGGAGTTAATTCAAGGTTCTTCTACAGGCCATAAAACCTGACCAAAGTCCTCATACCTCTACACTGCCCAATGGTCACAAGCCATGCTCGCCCGTGTGTGTGTGTGTGTTCCACCAATCAAAACCATCGATTTGCTCTAAGCTGTGTCTTTGTTAAAACCCATTATTCTAATAAACATTTTATAAGTTATTTTTCCTATTTTTTTTTTTGAGTGCCAACATCAGAGATGCCTTTGCAGGTCAGAAAGGAGCCTAGTCATTGGGGGGGGGGGGGGGGGGGGTTTTACTAAAACTGGAGCCCACAATCTGGTGCCGCTGCGCACGGCGGCCAATCAGCATCTATTTTCAGCTGCTCAATGAAGCTTTGACAATCAAACCTGGAAGCTGATTGGTTTCTCTGCAGAGCTGCGCCAGATTTTGCACCATGCAGTTTTAGCGAATCTCCCGCATTGACTTGTGCGAGTTACTCTAGGGTACATTGGGGGGCGGAAACACTAAAGGAAAATAGACCGTGCACTTTGCAAAGGAAGCTGCACCTAATTCCATAATAAAGTTTCATTTTGTAAAGAATATAAAGCGCAGAAAACACTTTAAAGTCGCTGCAACTTTAAGTCGCACATTTATGAATGGTTATCATTGGAAAACATGAAGTATGACTTGGCATGCGACTTTAATGTCCAAAGTCACATGACAAGCCTCACACGTGTGAATACAAAGGCGGATTATTGTAGCTGTGCTATTAGAGGTACTTATATAGTGCCGGCACTTTACTCAGCGCTTTACATATCATATACATTTTGGTGGCACAGTGGCTTAGTGGTTAGCACGTCTGCCTTGCAGTAACTAGGTCATGGGTTCAATTCCCAACCATGGCACCTCCTGCATGGAGTTTCCATGTTCTCCCTGTGCCTGCGTGGGTACTCCAGTTTCCTCCTACACTCCAAAGACATGCTGGGAGGTTAATTGGCTCCTGTATAAATTGTCCTAGTTTCATCCCTGGCCATGTAGGATCTCCTGCATGGTGGGGGTTGGGGAAAGACCTGGCAACCTACCCTCTAAAAATAATTGCTAGGAGAATTCATGGAAGAAGTCGCTTACAAGTGACGGTCCATCCAATCACCAAGGGTCGGGTACGACTGAATGGATAGATAGAATTATACATTCACAACAGTCCCCGCCCCCGAGGAGCGCACAATCTAAGGTCCCTAACTTACATTCATACATACACATACTGGGGCCAATTTAGACAGGAGCCAATTCACCTCCCAGCATGTCTTTGGAGGGTGGGAGAAAACTGGAGTACCCAGAGGAAATCCACACAGGCACAGGGAGAACATGCAAACTCCAGGCAGGTGGTGCCGTGGTTGGGATTCGAACCAACAACCCGAGTACTTCCAGGCGGAAGTGCTAACCCTTTAGCCACTGTGCTGAATGGAGCCTTTACTTGTACGACTCCAAAGTTTCATGACAACTGGGATGCGACTTGTTTCTCTGCAAAGTTGGACTCCCGGTCGCATGTAAAAACACATTCAGGTCTGAACCGGTTTCTGTGCAATTCCGCACCACATCCACGATCACCCCCCCCCCCCCCCCCCCCCGTTCACCACGAACCGCTGCAGGTGTGTATTTTAAGTTAACACCCCGAAATCAGTTCACACAAACGCGGTGCGATGGTGCAGAATCGGATCGCATAGGTGTGAGTGCCCGTGCGATCCAATTCTAGTGCAAGGTACCAAAAAAAAAAAAGGGTCCTGCACCTTTCTGGTGCGAATTGAACCACACAAAATGTACGGCTCCAATCACATCGCACAGAAATTCAAGTTTGATTTGCAGAGGAATGCGGCGGTGCGGTTCCTGTGCGAGTCACATGCCACGGTATACCCACGTAGGCACCAGTGTGAACCCGGCCTAAAGGAACGTTCCGTGGGCAGCAACTCTATCACTGGTGACATTTGTGCTTTATGATACCAAGATATCAGTTGTGTGCAGCAGAAGGCCATTATTCCCATTAACTCCATAGATGGGGGGAGGGGATCTCCTATTGCAAGGATCTATCATTGGCCACCAGAAAAGTAGAACATGAAAAGCGACAGATGAAACACCTCCTGGGACCGGAATACTTACGTTCAGCATTCTTCCCGTCTGCTTTAACTAGTTGCCGACCGCAGAATAGCCGAATGACGGCTGCACTGCGTCCGGCCAGTTCTGAGTGGGATGGACGTCATATGATGTCCTCCCAGAACGCGCTTTCCTGCACGCCCCAGGGGCGCGCACACACACGGCGATCTCCGTCCGTGTCCTATGGACAAAGCTGATCACGTGATGTGGTAAAAGGCCAATCACAGCGGCCTTTTACCACCTGATCAGCGGTGTCCAATGACACGCTGATCACAAGGAAATGCAAGTGGCGGTTCTCGGCTGCACTTTCCTCACGCTGTCAGATCATGAGGAAAGTACTGCCGAGAACCAGCAGTTGTCAGAGCAGGGATCAGCACCGATCATCAGGGCACGGATGATCATAGTGCCCTGATGATCGTTGTGGGGGGGGGTGGTGTGGGTGGGGGGGGGGGGAGCAGTGCCACCCGCAAGTTCGCCCAGCAGTGCGCCCACTAGCTCCGCCCACCTGTGCCCAGAAGTGCCACCCACCTGTGCCCAGAAGTGCCACCCACCTGTGCCCAGAAGTGGCCACCCACCTGAAGTGCTGTCAGTGCCCAGCGGTTGTGCCAGTCAGTGCCCCAGCAGTGATGCCAGTCCAGTACCCATCATCAGTGTCACCTATCAGTGCCGGCCCGTCCCTATCAGTGCTGCATATTATAGTGCTGTGCCTATCAGTGCCCATCAGTGCTGCCTCATCAACGCATATCAATGAAGGAGAAAAATTACCTGTTTGAAAAATTTTATAATAGAAACAAAGAAAACTTTTTTTTTTTTCAAATTTTTTGTTAGGCACTTGCACTTTTTTTAATTATAGCGCAAAAAGTAAAGCGCCCAGTGGCGATTAAATACCACCAAAAGAAAGCTCTATTTGTGAGAAAAAAATGATCAAAATTTTCATATGGGCACAATTGTTGCATGACCGCGCAATTGTCCAATCAAAGTGCGGGCAGCGCTGAAAAGCTGAAAATTGGCCTGGTAAGGAAGGGGGTATAAGTTGCCGGGTAGGCAAGGGGTTAATACAACAGAACTGCTGGAAAATGTATACAAAATAGAACGACTTATTGTCCATGAAGAAGAGTGAAGAGTGACCTCCAACGGACCAGGCTGCAGTCCGACCTCCAACATGACCATGGTGTCACCACGTCCTGTCCCCAGTGATGTGATGGCGGTAGGTAGGTGGCCGGCCCCTCTCATCAGAGGTGGGGTTTGCAGTCCAAACACGTATGTCTGTTACTAGAGCTAGTGGCGCAGTTAGTGAGGGTCACTGGCCGCCCTCATCTAGGGAGTCTTTGGCACCAACACAGCCGCTTATGTTGGGGTCTATCTTCATGTCTGATGAACTCGCCAATGTCGGGCCTGGTGGAAAACCACGATGGCCATCGGGTCAAGTTTTCCGGCACTCCCTGAGTGGTACTTTGCTGCCACGCCGAAGCCATGTGTGATGAGAGAGGAAGACATTAGAAACTGGTGGTGCATCGAAAATTAAAATTCTGGTGTCGAAGGCACAGCCGAAATTCAGAAGAATGCACTTGGCAGAACAGAAAACTGAAATGAGCGCAGTTTTTAAAAAATTTAATTTTTTTTTGGAGAAAAAAATACACTGATTAAAGAAAATATAATAAAACCACACAATATAATACCACGCCCAATTTTCTTATGTTGTAAAATATGAAAGAGGAAGTTATATGGCGGGTAAATAGATACCCAACATGTCGCGCTTTAAAATTGTGCACGCTCGTGGAATGGCAGTGAAACTGCGACTTTACAAACATAATAAATTAAATAGTGCAGCGCTACGAAATTTACAATAATATGTTGGTATGCCAAGTAAAGTGACAGGTCTGCAGTCGATCTAGGTTCAAATAGGCTGTAGAATCCACAAATAGTGCTCCAAAATCGTGTGATAAAATTACGCACTCACCAGGATGCGTAAAAAAAAAGTAAATACGCATTAGATATCACTGCAGAGGTCCCCTTTAGGAATTGGATAAGATCCTTAATCCGGGCTATATCCTCCTCTGGGTATGGTGGTGCTTGTCAGGAGCTCACGGGTAGGGAAGAGGATCCGGCTGGCCAGAGATCCCTTTTTAAGGGATGGACGGTGTAGAAGTCTGCTTTAAGGGACTCCCTTCTCTGGATGCCTTTAATGTAAGGCTGGATCATGAAGAGGGCATCTTCTAACTGCACTCCTCTCACCCTAGGCACGGACCCTCTCACCTCTCCCACTCTCCCCACCCCCCTTCTCCTCCTGACTGTTCCAAATGGCGACCGGTGCACGCCACTCTTACGGCATCTGTCGTTCTTCCAGAAACCGAAGCAGGACCCAGACAGACACCCTTAGACCTGCAGACGGTCACTTTACGTGGCTATACTCCCCTAACATTATAATTGTCATTGTCATAGCTCTTGCAACCTATTTATTTATTATGTTTCTGAAGGTTTTTTATTGGTTATACCTTTGGTTGTCCCAACTGGCTTATTTAGAGAACGATCGCTTTTGTTCACACTATATGTTGAGTTGCTTTTAAAAATGCCTACACGATTAGCAGTGTACAGTCACAGAGGAGACATAATTAGTGACAGGTCCTCTTTATGGAGGAGATATGGTGGGGGGGGGGGCATGAGACATAATTAGTTGGACGGGTCCTCTTTATGAATAGAGGGAGAGTAGCATTGGGGGGGGGGGGGGGGGTGTGGGGGGGGGTGAGGGGGGGGGGGGGGGGGGGGGCAAATGAGACATAATGTAGTGACGTGTCCTCTTTATGGGGAGATAAGAGGGGGGACAATTATAGTGACGGGTCCTCTTTATGGAAGATATGGGGGCGGGGGAACAAAGAAGACATAATTAGTGACGGGTCCTCTTTTTGGCAGAGATATGGGGGGGGGGGGGGGGGGGGGGGGGGGGCAATGAGCAAAATTTGGGACGGGTCCCTTTTTGGGAGATAGGGGGGGGGCGGGGGGGGGGGGGGGGGGCCCCCAATAACTTTAAAGAGGGGGGGGGCCCCAAAGGGAGAAGGGGGGGGGGGCAATAACAAAAAGGGAAGGGCCCCCAAAAAAAGGATAGGGGGGGGGGGGGGGGGCAATGGGGGGGGCCCCCAAAATTTAAGGGCAGGTTCCCCAAGGGGGGGAAAAAGGGGGGGGGGGGGGAAATAATGAGGCATAATTAGTGGGGGGGTCCTCTTTATGGAGAGATGGGGGGGGGGGGGCCGGGGGGGACAAAATTTGGGGGAAAAGGGGGTTTTTGGGGGGGGGGGGAAATGGGGGGGGGGGGGGGGGGGGGGAAGGGGGGGGGGGGGGGGGGGGGGGGAAAAAGGGGGGAAAGGGGTGGGGCCCCAGGGGGGGGGGGGGGGGGGGGGGGGGGGGGGGGGGTTTAACAGCAATGAGACTTAATTAGGGGAAAGGGTCCTTTTTATGGGGGGGATATGGGGGGGGGGGACAATGGGGAAAACTTTTAATTAGTGACGGGTCCTCTTTTTAGGGGAAGGTTTAGGGGGGGGGGGGGGGGAAAATTTAAAAAGGAAAAAATAATTAAAGTTGGCGGGCCCTTTTTTTTGGGAGTTTATGGGGGGGGGGGGGGGGGGCAATGAAACAAAATTTAAAGTGCAGGCCCTTTTTAAAGGGGGAGATAGGGGGGGGCCAATGAGACATAATTAGTGCGGGTCCCTTTTATGGGGGAGTTTTATGGGGGGGGGGGGGGGGGGGGGGGGGGGGGGGGGGAAAGGGGGGGAAACAATGGGGGGGGACAAAAATTTGTAAAACAGGTCCTCTTTTGGAGAGATATGGGGGGGGGGGGGGGGGGGGCAATGGGGGGAAAATAAAAATTATTTGACGGGTCCCCCTTTATGGAGAGAAAAATTGGGGGGGGGGGGGGGGGGGGAAAGGGGGGAAATTGGGGGGGGGAAAAAAATTTTAAGTGACGGGTTCTTTTTATGGAAAAAGATTTGGGGGGGGGGGGGGGGGGGGGGGGGGGGGGAAAAAAATGAAACATTTTTTTAGGGGGGTTTCCTCTTTTGGGAGGTTAGGGGGGGGGGGAAAAATTTGAAAAAACAATTAGTGAAGGTCCTCTTTAGGAGAGATTTGGGGGGGGGGGGGGGGGGGGGGGGGGGGAACAAGGGGGAAAAAATGGGGGGTTTCCCGGGGGGGGTTGGGGGGGGGGGGGGGGGGGCAAGGGGAAAATATTTAGTGCCCGGGGTTTCCTCTTTATGGAGAGATATGGGGGGGGGGGAAATAGGGGGGGGGGGGGGGGACAATGAAATTTTAATTGGGGCCCGGTTTCCTCTTTAGGGAGAGTTTATGGGGGGGGGGGGGGGGGGGGGGGGAATACAAGGGGGGGGGGGGGGGCACAATTGGGGGGGGGGGGTGGGGGGGCCTAATGAGGGGGGGAAAGGGGGGGGGGGGGGGGGGGGGGGGGGCCAATGAACAAAATTAAAGTGACAGGTCCTCTTTATGGGGATAGGGGGGGGGGGAAGGAAAAATTTTTAGTAAACGGGTTTCCTCTTTAGGGGGAGAGAAAATGGGGGGGGGGGGGGGGGGGGGAGAGAAAAATTTTGAGGACATTTTTAGGGGAAGGTATTTTTTATCCCCCCAAAATTGGCCTTTTTACATCCCCCCCTTCCCCCCCCCACCCCCCCCCCCCTTTGGGTTCCTTCTCCCCCCCCCCCCCCCGGGGTCCTTCCCCCAACCCCCCCCCCTTGGGGGCCCCTTTAACCCCCCCCCTTTTCCCCTCACCCCCCCCCCCCTTGGGCATTTTCCCCTTCCCCCCCCCCCCCAGCCCTTATTCCAAAACCCCCCCCAATGGCTGGTGGGTCCCCCGGGGATGGCCCCCTTTTTCCCCCCAACGGAACCCCCCCCCCCAAAGGAATTTGATTGGCCCCCCCTCCCCCCCCCGAAAGACCCTTGTAAACGCACGCCCGACCGCTCCCGAACAAAAGCGTCCCGTCCCGTGCTCGTGCGCGCCGCCGGAGAGTGCGCCAAGGTCGTCCGGCGTGTCTCACCCGGGCGCCATCCCCCCCCGCATCCGCGTGCCGCCCCCGGGTGTGCCTGTGTGTCTCCGTGATCCTCCCAGGCCGGATCCTTCAGACGTGATTTCCATACAGGAAGGATGCCTCAGCGCCTAGGCTTCACCCAGACCTTGTACTGTCAGGTGCAGAGATGGAGAAGGCAATCATTAGAGGTCAGGCGGGGCAATCGGGGGGCAGCAGAGGACGATCAATAATGGACTCCCACGGTCCAATCGCATGACAACGCGCATCAGTGCGATACCAGGACACTTAAAGCGGAGCTCCGCCACAAAAGGGGCTGGTTCTGCTTTAAGCCTTTGTCCCCAACTCCCCATTAAGGGTTGGCACCTTTGGGGACTGTGGGTGGGGGGCTTGGGAAGCCAGGTACCCGAATTTGACAGGTACCCGCTCCACTTCCGCTGCGATCACCTAGACGATCGGAAGGGGAAGTTCCCCTCCCTCCCCATAGTCTTCGGGGACACGTGACAGGTCTCAGGAGACTACGGGGGCCATTCACAAAGCGCAGCACTTCTCGCACATGCTCAGTGGGCACCCGGCTGTGAAGCCGCAAGCTGTCCCAGCTGGGTGCCCACACTGTAGATGCCGGCGCCCTGGGGAGAGATAGACGGCCGGTCGAATACCCCAACCGTGGTGAGGACCCCACCGCTGGACCGAGGGACAGGTTAAAGTTGATCGGTGGTGAGGACACCGCGTGCACCGAGGGACGGACAGGTAAGTGATCGGTGGTGAGGACACCGCTGCACCGAGGGACAGGTAACGTGATCGGTGGTGAGGACACCGCTGCACCGAGGGACAGGTACATGGATCGGTGGTGAGGACACCGCTGGACCGAGGGACAGGTAAGTGATCGGTTGGTGAGGACACCGCTGCACCGAGGGACAGGTAAGTGATCGGTGGTGAGGACACCGCTGCACGAGGGACAGGTAAGTGATCGGTGGTGAGGACACCGCTGGACCGAGGGACAGGTATTGATCGGTGGTGAGGACACCGCTGCACCGAGGGACAGGTAAAGTGATCGGTGGTGAGGACACCGCTGGACGCCGAGGGACAGGTAAGTGATCGGTGGTGAGGACACACGCTGGACCGAGGGGACAGGTAAGTGATCGGTGGTGAGGACACCGCTGGACCGAGGGACAGGTAAGTGATCGGTGGTGAGGACACCGCTGGACCGAGGGACAGGTAAGTGATCGGGTGGTGAGGACACCGCTGGACCGAGGGACAGGTAAGTGATCGGTGGTGAGGACACCGCTGGACCGAGGGACAGGTAAGTGATCGGTGGTGAGGACACCGCTGGACTGAGGGACAGGTAAGTGATCGGTGGTGAGGACACCGCTGGACTGAGGGACAGGTAAGTGGCTGTATTTTAAAAATCAGCAGATACAGTTTTTGTAGCCACTGACTTATATTTATTTATTTTAAGGTGGAATTCGCTTTAAGCCTTTTTTTTTGTTTGTTTTTTAATCAAAACAATAAAAACACGTTACACTTACCTGCTCTGTAATGGTTTTGGGTCCCCGCTGGCGCTCCAGGCCCTCCTCTTCGGCGGGTGCCCCCAGGGAAAGCAGTTTCCTTGAGGGCACCTGCGCGGGCTCACTCCTGAGCCACCCTGTCTGCATCCATCCACACAAAGCAGACAGCTCACCCCCCCCCCCCCCCCATTTGATTGACAGCAGCTGCTATCAATCTTCCCAATGAGGGTGACAGCGGCGATAGCGGCTGCTCTTGTGCACATTGCTGGATCGGATCGGGGTCAGGTAAGTATGAGGATCATGGGGGGGCTGGGGATTCATAGAAACCTGAAGGCCCCTTTCACACGGGCGTTTCGTTTTTTTCTCATCAGTTCGGTCACGTTTTTCCCTAGAAAAAATATTGGATCAGTTTACATTTATGTTTCGCCCTTTTTCAGCCGGTTTTTTTTTTAATGGAAGAAAATTGTTTTTTTTTCAAAATTGTCGGTCTTTTTTTTTGTTTATAGCACAAAAAATTAAAAAACCGCAGAGGTGATCAAATACCACCAAAAGAAAGTTCTATTTGTGGGGGAAAAAAAAAATGCCGAAAATGTCATTTGGGTGCAGCGTTGCATGACCGCGCAATTGCAGTTAAAGTAACGCAGCGCCGTATTGCAAAAAATTGCCTGGTCAAGGGGGGAGAACCCTCTGTAGATGGGGGGGGGATCCTCTGGAGGGGGGGGGATCCTCTGGAGGGGGAGGGGTTAATTTACCGGTATTATGTTTTAGCAAAGACACGGAGCAGTAAAATCCTCTGGAGGGGGAGGGTTAAACAGATGCCGACATTAACGGATGTAATCAGATGATCGTCCGTTTACATCCGCTAGTCCATAGAAATACATGGGGGTCAGTTTTTCATCATCAGAGGAAAGACGAACATACAGAACGCCGGTGTGAGAGATGAAAGAGGCCGGAATGCCGGCCATACACGGGTCAAAATTCGACCATTTTTAGTCCAAAATTAAGAATAATCGGGACCGATTTTCGTAGTTCCTCCCTTTTCGGTGATTGGACATGTTGGAAAATTTGTGAACGACCAATTTTCGACTCAATGATGGTCAAAATCGTACGATCGTTTTTCCAAAAAGAATACGCCGTGACCTGGAAGGAACAGAAGTTTCGCCTGTTATGTGGGGTGAACTTTATGACTCGGTCAGCCATCACTGATGGCGCCATCGGATTACCGACGAGAACGACGTTTGATTTTCAGATGAAAAATCGTTCGGAATCTGACCCGTGTATGGCCTGCATACGGCTTTAGAAACACTTGTAATAGTGGGGAGCGCAGATTTCCTCCCAGGTGAAGGAGCGGACCACAAATCAGACCCGGCTGACATAATCGGACATTCCTGGTGAGGTCGATTCTACCTGAACTCAGCGCACCGATCGTCAGCTTTGTGGCCAACAATCCGTTACCTTTGCATACGGAGCGAGAAAATCCAAAGCGGTGATGTGAAGCCGGAACTTCTGCGTCTTGGTGAACTTCCCGAAACACGTCCCCAGAGACACCAGCTTGTCCCGCGCGATGTTTGTCGCCAACTTTAAAATCTTCTCACTGCGAAACGAGATGAAAGGAGAAATCCGGATTTAAAGGGGAAAAGTGCAGGAGGAGCCCCGACTTACGCTGCGCAATCCCTGTGCGTTTCCCGTGCTGCGATCCTGCGATCTGCCGCGGGTGTCAATTAACCGCCTTCTGCCCGCCATATAAGGAAATGACAGACAGCGGCGGCTCTCTCGTTCTGGTGGAGGACGTCATATGACGTCCTCTTACTCTGACCGCGCGTGCAAGTGTGTCCCTCGGATACAGCGGATCACCGATCAACGGAAAGAGCCAAAGACGACGGCTGTCATGTGATCAGCCGAGTCCAATCACAGCTGATCGCATGTAAATGAGGAAATGCCGGTTATCAGCATTCCTCTCCCCACAAGCTGTCACACTGACAGAGGAGAGGAGCGGAGAGCGGGTAATCAGCATTCCTCAGAGGGGATATCTACACTGATCATCAGGACACTGATGATCAGTGTAGACCCAGCAGTGCCCACCTGTCAGTGCCCACCAAATGCCACCTAGATCATTGCCTATCTGAACTGCTTTTCAGTGCTGCCTATCAGTGCCCATCAGTGATGCCTGTCAATGCCCATCAGTGCCACCTACCATTGCCTCCTCATCAGTGCCACCTACCAGTGCCGCCTCATTAGCGCCCATCAGTGCCAGAGAAAGATCACGTCTTTACAAAATTATATAACAGAGACTAAGAAAAAAACTTTTTTTTTTCTTCACAATTTTCAGTTGTTTTTGGTTTATTTAGCAAATACAAAACCCGAGGTGATTAAATACCACCAAAAATAAAGCTCTATCTGTCTCAAAAAAATTATAAAAATTTAACATCGGCACAATGTAGCATGACTGCGCAATTGTCATTCAAAGTGCGACAGCGCTGAAAGCTGAAAATTGGGAGGGGCAGCAGTGCCCGGCGGGCAGGAAGGGGGTAGGAGCGTACGCGGGCACTTCTACACCCCTAACTGCCTACAGGGGACACTTCTACCCCCTCTTCCGGCCTACCGGGCACTTCTACCCCGCTTCCCGCCACGCGCACTTTCCCGCACTACCGGGCACTTCTACCCCTTCCCGCCTTACCGGGCACACTTCTACCCCCTTCCGCCTACCGGGCACTGCCCCTCCCTCCATTGTGAGCCTCTCCCTCCATTGTTCCACACACCGGGAATGACAGACAAAATACAGATCCTCCTACCTGACATAATACACCCGATCGTCGTGCAGCCGGAAGCAGTAAAGTACCGTCAGGACGAGTCGACCAGCAGCTTGATGTTCTCCCGATACTGAGGAACAGAAGAGAGAGACGGTTAGAATCCAACACCCCACCTTCCCGATCTACAGTCATCCCTGGGACCCACACAACAACCCTACAAACCCTCACTACGGACACCCATCTGGACCCCCTGTGACACCTCCAGGGGCCCGACACAACCATCCTACGGACCCCACTGTGACACCTCCAGGGGCCCCACACAACCACCTACGGACCCCACTGTGACACCTCCAGGGGCCGACACAACCATTCCTACGGACCCCACTGTGACACCTCCAGGGGCCCGACACAACCATCCTACGGACCCACTGTGACACCTCCAGGGGCCCGACACAACCATCCTACGGACCCACACACACCATCCAGGAGCCCCACACAACCATACGGACCCCACTGTGACACCTCCAGGGGCCCCGACACAACCAATCCATACGGACCATCACTGTGACCACCTCCAGGGGCCCAACAAACATCCTACGGACCCCACTGTGACACCTCCAGGGGCCCGACACAAACCATCCTACGGACCCCACTGTGACACCTCCAGGGGCCCGACACAATCATCCTACGGACCCCACTGTGACACCTCCAGGAGCCCCACACAAACCATCCTACGGACCCCACTGTGACACCTCCAGGGGCCCCACACAACCATCCTACGGACCCCACTGTGACACCTCCAGGGGCCCCACACAACCATCCTACGGACCCCACTGTGACACCTCCAGGGGCCCCACACAACCATCCTACGGACTCCACTGTGACACCTTTAGGGGCCCCACACAACCATCCTACGGACCCCACTGTGACACCTCCAGGGGCCCCACACAACCATCCTACGGACCCCACTGTGACCTTCCTCCCCCAGGCAGGGGCCCTACACTGTGACCCTGTGGACCCACACAGTGACCCCTCCAGGAGCCCCACACAGTCACCCTATGGACCCCCCGGTAATGGGGGGTCACACTCACTATTTGGACAATTTCTCGAACATGGTTCTGGTCTCCTCATCTGTTAGCGGCCTCATCTCTGCTCCACGTGATCCACACACTCTGCTTGGACCCGGGACTGATGACGTCGACAACATGAGACCATCCTAATGAGTGGGAGGAGCCATGGATCGTCTTCCAAGGTACAGATCGGAGCCTGTCATACCACCTTGTGTCCAGCAGGGGGGGGGGGGGGCAGCAGAGATGCCACGTGCTTATATTTACACATCTTCCGGGAACGCTGCGCTCCAAGAGGCGCATGCGCAGTGTCTGTGCGAGTTACACGGGGAGGAGGGGTTGGGGGGACATTGACAACATTCCAGGGGTGCTGACTGAGGAGGAGATCTGGGGGTGATATCAGCATTACAGGGTGATAGAGGGGGTGCTGGGGGAGGGTTTGAGAATGTCAGTTCCATGTTTTTTTTAGAGGGAGAAAGGAGGGCAGGGAGTGTAACACTGGGGTATATGGGGGCAGGGAGTGTAACACTGGGGTATATATGGGGTGGCGGGGCAGGGAGTGTAAAACACTGGGTATATGGGGTGGGGGCAGGGGGTGAAACATTGGGGTATATGGGGGTGTAACACTGGGGTATATGGGGGGGATTATATGGGGCAGGGGGTGTAACACTGGGGGTATATATGGGGCAGGGGTGTTAACACTGGGGTATATGGGGGGCAGGGGTGTAACACTGGGGTATATGGGGGGCGGGGGTTGTAACAACTGGGGTAGGGGGTGTTGTAACACTATGGGGCAGGGGGTGTAACACTGGGGTATATGGGGGGCAGGGGGTGTAACACACTGGGGGGGGTGTAACACTGGGGGGGCAGGGGGGGTGTAACACTGGGGTATATGGGGGGCAGGGGGAGTAACACTGGGGTATATGGGGGGGGGGGGTGTAACACTGGGGTATTATGGGGGTTGTAACAGGGGGGGGCAGGGGTAACACTGGGGTAGGGGGGCCAGGGGGTGTAACACTGGGGTATATGGGGGGGGTGTAACACTGGGGTATATGGGGCAGGGGGGTGTAACACTGGGGTATATGGGGGGCAGGGGGAGTGTAAACACTGGGGTATATGGGGGGCCGGGGGTGTAACACTGGGGTAGGGGGTGTAACATGGGGTATATGGGGCAGGGGGTGTAACACTGGGGTTTATGGGGGGGGGCAGGGGGTAAACACTGGGGTATATGGGGCAGGGGGTGTAACACTGGGGTATATGGGGGCAGGGGGTGTAACACTGGGGTAATATGGGGGGCAGGGGTGTAACACTGGGGTATATGGGGGCAGGGGGTGTAACACTGGGGTATATGGGGGCAGGGGTGTAACCTGGGGTGTATGGGGGCAGGGGGTGTAACACTGGGGTAATATGGGGGGGGGCAGGGGGTGTAACACTGGGGTAGGGGCAGGGGGTGTAACATGGGGTATATGGGGGGCAGGGGGTGTAACACTGGGGTATATGGGGGCAGGGGTGTAACACTGGGGTATATGGGGGCAGGGGGTGGGGTATTATAACACTGGGGTAACAACTATATGGGGGGCAGGGGGTTGTAACACTGGGTGTAATATGGGGCGGGGGTTGTAACACTGGGGTATATGAGGGGCAGGGGGTGTAACACTGGGGTAGGGGTGTAACATTGGGGTATATGGGGGGTGTAACACTGGGTATATGGGGGGGGGGGAGTGTAACACTGGGGTATATGGGGGGGGTGTAACACTGGGTATATGGGGGCAGGGAGTGTAACACTGGGTAGGGGTTGTAACACTGGGGTATATGGGGGGGGGGGGTGTAACACTGGGGTATATGGGGGGGCAGGGGGTGTAACACTGGGGTAGGGGGTGTAACACTGGGGTATATGGGGCAGGGGGTGTAACACTGGGGTATATGGGGGGGGTCAGGGAGTGTAACACTGGGGTATATGGGGGGGGGGTGTAGGGGTAACACTGGGGGGGGGTGTAACACTGGGGTATATGGGGGGGGTGTAACACTGGGGTATAATTGGGGCAGGGGGTGTAACACTGGGGTATATGGGGGGGCAGGGGGTGTAACACTGGGGTAGGGGGCAGGCGAGGGGTGTAACACTGGGGTATGGGGGGGGGGGTTACATGGAGGGGGTGTAAACACTGGGGTATAAGGGGCAGGGAGTGTAACACTGGGGTATAGTAGGGGTTATATATGGGGGGGGGTGTAACACTGGGGTATATGGGGGGCAGGGGGTGTGTAACACTGGGGTATATGGGGGGGCAGGGGACAGTGTAACACTGGGGTATATGGGGGGCAGGGAGTGTAACACTGGGGTATATGGGGGCAGGGGGTGTAACATGGGGTATATGGGGGGGGGGGGCAGGGTGGTGTAACACTGGGGTATATGGGGGCAGGGGTGTAACACTGGGGTTAGGGGGTGTAACAATGGGGTATATGGGGGCAGGGGGTTGTAACACTGGGGTATATGGGGGGCAGGGGGGTGTAACACTGGGGTAGGGGGGTGTATAACACTGGGGTATATGGGGCAGGGGGTTGTAACACTGGGGTATATGGGGGGCAGGGGGTGTAACACATGGGGTATATGGGGGCAGGGGGGTGTAACACTGGGGTATATGGGGGGCAGGGGTGTAACACTGGGGTAGGGGGTGTAACATTGGGGTATATGGGGGCAGGGGGTGTAACAATGGGTAATGGGGGCAGGGGGAGTGTAACATGGGGTATATGGGGGGCAGGGGGTGTAACACTGGGGTATATGGGGGGGGGGCTGTAACACTGGGGTATATGGGGGGCAGGGGGTGTAACACTGGGGTATATGGGGGCAGGGCAGGGTGTAACACTGGGGTTATATGGGGGGGGGGGTTGTAACACTGGGGTATATGGGGGGGCAGGGGGGTGTAACACACTGGGGTAGGGCAGGGGTGTAACACTGGGGTATATGGGGCAGGGGTATATGTGGGGGTTGTAACACTGGGGTATAATGGGGGCAGGGGGTGTAACACTGGGGTATATGGGGGGCAGGGGGTTGTAACACTGGGGTATATGGGGGCAGGGGGTGTAACACTGGGGTATATGGGGGCAGGGGGTGTAACACTGGGGTAGGGGGCCAGAGGTGTAACACTGGGGTATATGGGGGGCCGGGGGTGTAACACTGGGGTATTATGGGGGCAGGGGGTGTAACACTGGGGTATATGGGGGGCAGGGAGTGTAACACTGGGTCGTATATGGGGGAAAACATTGGGGGTGTAACACTGGGTATATGGGGGGCAGGGAGTGTAAGAGTGTAACCTGGGGTATTAGGGGGCCAGGGGGCTGTAACACTGGGGTATATGGGGGGCAGGGGGTGTAAACACTGGGGTGTATATGGGGGGAGTACAGGGGGTGTAACACTGGGGTATAGGGGGGTTGTACACTGGGTATATGGGGGCAGGGGGTGTAACACTGGGGTATATGGGGGGGGGGGGTGTAACACTGGGGTATATGGGGGGCAGGGAGTGTTAACACTTCATGGGGGTATATGGGGGCAGGGGGTGTAACACTTGGGGTATATTTGGGGCAGGGGGTGTAAGGGGGTGTACACTTGGGGTAATGGGGGCAGGGGGTGTAACACTGGGGGTATATGGGGGGGGGTTTGTACCACACCCCCACCCCCCCCATCACCCCCCCCCCCCCCCACGGGTAATTTTATGATGTGTGTTTAACACTGGGGGTATATGGGGGCAGAGGGTTAACACTGGGGGTATTATGGGGGGGGCAGGGGGTGTAACACTGGGGTTTATGGGGCAGGGGGGTTGTAACACACTGGGGTATATGGGGGGGGCAGGGGGTGTAAAACACTGGGGTAGGGGGTGTAAACATGGGGTATATGGGGGGCAGGGGTGTAACACTGGGGTATATGGGGGGCAGGGGGTTGTAACACTGGGGTATGGGGTATCTGGGGGGGTGTAACACTGGGGTTATAGGGGGTGCTAACAGTACTGTAACACTGGGGTATATGGGGGCAGGGGGTGTAACACTGGGGTATATGGTGGGGGGGTGTAACACTGGGGTATATGGGGGGGGCGGCAGGGGGTGTAAACACTGGGGTATATGGGGGCAGGGGGTGTAACACTGGGGTATATGGGCCGTGATAACATTGGGGGGGCAGGGGGTGTATCACTGGGGTAGGGGTGTAACACTGGGGTATATGGGGCAGGGAGTGTAAACACTGGGGTATATGGGGGCAGGGGGTGTAACACTGGGGTATATGGGGGGGCAGGGTGTAACACATGGGGTAATGGGGGCAGCAGGGTGGAGTAAACACTGGGGTATATGGGGGGGGGGGGGTGTAACACAGGGGTATATGGGGGCAGGGGGTGTAACACTGGGGTATATGGGGGGCAGGGGAGTGTAACACTGGGGTAGGGGGTGAAACATTGGGGTATATGGGGCAGGGGGTGTAACACTGGGGTATATGGGGCAGGGGGTGTAACATGGGAAGGGGGTGACACTGGGTATATGGGGCAGGGGGTGTAAACACTGGGGTATATGGGGCAGGGGGGTGTAAACACTGGGGTATATGGGGGGCAGGGGGTGTAACACTGGGGTATATGGGGCAGGGGTGTGTAACACTGGGGTATATGGGGGGCAGGGAGTGTAATCGGGGTATATGGTAAAAACAGGCGGGCCATAGGGGTGTACACTGGGTATATGGGGGCAGGGAGTGTAACACTGGGGTATATGGGGGGCAGGGGGTGTAAAACACTGGGGTATATGGGGGCAGGGGTGTAACACTGGGGTATATGGGGGCAGAGGGGTTGTAACACTGGGGTATATGGGGGGGGGCAGGGGGTGTAACACTGGGGGTAGGGGGTGCAGGTAACCACTGGGGTATATGGGGGCAGGGGGTGTAACATGGGGTATATGGGGGGGGCAGGGGGTGTATCACTGGGGTATATATGGGGGCAGGGGGTGTAACACTGGGGTATATGGGGCAGGGAGTGTAAACACTGGGGTATATGGGGGTGGGGGTGTAACACTGGGGTA